TGATAAATGACTGCTATTACTACATTTATTCATGATTATTTCCACTTTGTTATTTGAGTTACCAAGCACAAAAAGTCTTCCCTGAAAAATATTTTTATTACCCAGTGCTTTAATTTCTGAAATATTCACCAGTGTCAGACACACTCAGCCATCTCATCTTCAATAAAGGAGCCAAACACCCTCACTGGAGGAAAGATAGCCTCTTTAATAAATGGTGTTGGAAAAATTAGGTTTCAACTTGCCAAAGATTAAAACTAGACCTATATCTCTTGCCATGCACTAAACTAAAATCGAAATGGATTAAAGATCTAAATATTAAAATAGAAACGCTGAACCAGTTGGAACAGAGGTTAGGTAGAACTCTTGAAGACATCGGTGTAGGAAAAGATTTTATGAACAAAACCTCAGTTGCCCGTGAACTAGCACAAACAATCAACAAGCGGGATCTCTTCTTATTAAAAAGCTTCTGCACAGCCAGAGAGACCACCGGCAGTGTGAAGAGACAACCCACAATGTGGGAAAAAATCTTCACCTTCTTTTCCTCAGACAAAGGTCTACTATCTCGAATCGATAAAGAACTTAAAATATCCAATTCTTTATTTAAAGCAAGTATACATAGACCTGAATCTTTATATATACCTTGTGTTTTTTAATCCTGCTAAATTCAAATAAAAGTTCTAGAGGCCCCTAGAGATTTCTTAGTATTTTCTCTGTAGATGATCATTTCATTTACACATAAAGATTTTACTTCTACCTTGCCAATCCTATGCTAATTGTGTCTTTTTATCGCCAGACTATTTTGGTATGGGCCTATGTTTCAAAGTTAAATGGATAGATGAAGAGTAGACATATCTGCCCTTGTTCCCCACCTTAGAGAGAAAGCATTGTATCTTCTCCATTCATATAAGGCATTTTTGCTGGAAGTATGGAGTACATGTCTTTGATCTGTTAAGAAGGTTCTGTTGTACTTCTAGTCTCCTGATAGCTTTTACCATGAACAGCTTCAGAATTTAGTCCAATTCTTTTTCTGCAACTACTGACATGATCATATGGCTTTTTCCTTTCCTCTGTTAAAATGATGACTTATGTGGGTGGATTTTCCAACGCTGAAGCAACACTGCCATCCGTATAATAAAACCATTTTCTACATACTGCCAGATCTGACTTCTAATAGTTTGTTTTGCTAAACAATTTTTTCTCTATGTTCATACTTTTTCTTCTATTATCTTTATCCAGTTTTAGGATTAGCATAATGTTGAGGTCCTAAAATGAGGGGAGATGTGTTCCTTCTTTTTTTCTGCTTTAAATGTTTGATATAATTCATCAGCTAAAATGTGTATGAGCCTGTTGTGGTCATATAGGTAGGTTTTCAAGCTATGAATATAGTTTCTTTAATAGGTGTTATTCAAGGTTTATATTTCTTCCAGAGTCAGTTTCATTAATTTGTCTTCCAAGGCACTTCTTAGAAGTTGTCAAATTTATTTCAAAAAAGATTTTTGTAATATGCT